GAAAGTTATTTCCACTTTTCCAATGTTAAAGGGGCTCAGTCACAGTATTTTGAGTAATTTTGGCCACATACAAAATTACTATTAAATGGTAAGAAACCTAAAATAACAGATTAATAACATAGAAAAACACAAAAGAGATCATGATAAACCATAAAGGAACCAGGATGGCTAAGGATGACGAATTTGAAAAATTGAGGCTAAACTTCTCAATATGCGCAAAGCGTGACTGAGCTCCTTTAAGTTGTCTTTCTCAACATACATGAAAAATATGTAACCAGAGCATCAACAAAGCAATAATTACATGTACTTTTAATGTCAAATTTGACGACTGATCATTTCTTTCCTCAGGTACTGTATTACATGTAGCCGTATGTAGGGAGTCTGCCGCAACTGAACCTAGTTACGAAGTGGAATCTTTATTTTTTGAGCCTCCCAGGAAAATGAAAATTGGTTTGAAAAAGCGTGTAGTTCAAGAAACCAGGGGTGAAACTACTGAGGGTAGGGAAAAGACGTTTTGGATTGAGTCAGATCAGAAGGTTTGAAAAATCAAGGATTCAATAAATCTGGATTACATTGTGTGTGCCATACTGTGCAGGTTACTGGTTTGATCTCAGTTGGTAACATAACATGGAATATTTGTTTTCATGACTATCTGCATTTTTCACTGATTTACCTTTGTTCCAGTGTTTCTTGGTCGACCAAATGAAGAAAACCAATCTCCTCCTCTCCTACAGATGGTCTGAAATTTCACCAGAAAAATGAAATCATAAATATTTGCACTGACAGATTATTTTAGCTAATACAGAAGCACACAGGAAAAACAATAATATAATATGAGCAAAATGTAAATGGTACAAACCGGTGCAACAGCAACAGTCTCAACATTGGCCACGGTGGTGGGGCAGCCAAACACGCCTAGGAAAGAAAGACATTGTCAGTAACCTGTCAAAGCTACATACATGTACATTCACAAGTTTATTCCAGAACAGTGAAATTCAAGGTATCACCCTGCAGTTAAAACTTAAAATTCTATGTCAAATCTTCAAGAATATGGGGCATTTTGTACAGTGTTTAAAGAAATTTAGGTCCCAGAAATTTTTATTCCTGCAGAGTGCAGCAATTTTCTCACACAAAATTATTATTAGACAAGAAATATAAGTGACAGAAACCAACATTTCGGTGCATCTTGCGCCATTATCAAGGTTACATAATTAAAGATAAAAAGTGGTTTGT